ATATAATTATAATAAAAATAAAATAAATTAATTATTTGAATTATTTGAATTTTATACATATTTTGTACTGTTATTATGATTGTCAACATATCACTACATTGACAATAATGATAATAATAATAATAATAATAGCAGGATTGAATAAGTTAACTTTTATTTTAACTAAGTTAAGTTAAAGTGTTAAAACAGCCTTGAAAAGTTAATTTAACTTAATTAAAATACAAGTTAACCCATAATAAAATTAATTGAACTAAAAGTTAAGTTAATAAAAAAAGTAATTGAAAAGTTAAATTTGATACGAATGAATAACCAAAAAAAAAAGAAAAAGTTTGACCACTTTACATAATTATTACGTATTTTTCCTTTCTCATATTATTCTTAGCATATTTATTAAAGAATCTGGTTATTTTTGTTTACAAATAACGATTATACAATAAAAATTACTAAATTACTAAATTATATACTCATTAGCTCTCGCATTGTATCTGAGGATTGACTTTAAAAAAATTAACTTAAAAGTTAATAGTTATCAATAAAATGTAACTAAATTAAGTTAAAAAGTTAAGAATCTAAAGTGTAACTAAGTTAAATTAAAATTAATTAATTTTTTAATTCTTTAATTTAACTTTTATCTTTTTAACACCCAATCCTGAATAATAGTAATAATAATAATGATGATATCAATGATTATGATAACAATAACATTCAATGCTTATATTTAACAGATATTCCTGGGATATACAACAGATGTCCTCTAGACATTTAATTGATGTTGTCTTCAAAATGTTTTATTTAAAATAAAAATCATCAAAGCTTGAATTTCAAGTATATGTTTATAATGTATGTCAGAAATATAATATTGAACACACTTGTAATATTGAATTTTATGATCCAGTCCCGAATGTCTCTCGGATGTCTTGTAGACATCTTATCGCAGCTATAAGCAGAACGCCCTTCGGACGTTCAAGACATCAAGACATAACTAGGCTTTTATGAACAGGAACATCTAAAAAACATTTGTTGTGTGGGTATTATTTATTAATTCCTTTATTTATTAATCTCAAACGAGAAACTTTTTAAGATATGTCTCAAACAAAAAATTACCTATTGAGAAAATCCTCTTTGCAACACTGGGTAAAATCTTAAGAGAAATAATGGATTGGGAATGTAAAAAGTTGTATAAATTGTTTATATCTATATATACATATATATATACATATATATA